TTCGCCTATCCTCATCATTTTCTAAAGTTCATCGCACGATCACGATTGTCCGGTAGTGTTTTATTTTTTATTTTCTTTCTACAAATTGGAATTATCTGAAATTTGGAGCGTGTGTTCATCAACAAAAGGATAATCTACAAAAATATCAAAAAAATATTTTACATAAATAAATTGACCAAAATACCCTCGAACTTTTTTAACATTCCAACTGGTTATCAAACACATACCCAAAACTTATTTAAACCTTCTAAAACAAAACATTCAATTTTCCATAAGATATCTTTTAGAAAAACAAACGTACCTTAAGTATTTATAGATCTACTCAATCCATAATGTTCTTAAAGATTTAGATTTTACAGTAAGAGACGAAAATGAATTTTCTGGCCATCAAAATTATTTTTGCTACTGAAAAATTATCTTTCGACATTGCTTAAAGATATGCCTTACTTTGATTTGTTAGTCTTAACCAGTAAATTAAAAATCACCGAGTCAGAATGGATTTGGGCAAATCGACACAGGAATCGGTCACCCCATGTCGACTCTAGTAAAAAACATGGCATCGCTCGATTCTAGAGAAAAACCAACGATTCTCTACATTGAACCTCCTGAGTCACTATTTAAGACTCGATGAACTATGTAAAGCGTGAAAAATCATCACGTTTTGGATTGTTTTGATCAATTATTTGAACAAAAGTGAATCTTGCAAGCTTTGGATCTCACTTTATAGCCTTATTGATCATATAATCGAATTCAAAGGTCAAATTTAGATTAGAAATTCATGGTTTGGTGAAGAACATGGTTGTTTTTTGGTTTTCCTCCATTTCATGGATTGCAGACGAAATAGGGCACTATTTTTTATCAAATCAGATGGTTCTTACTTCTGATAGTGTTATTGAGTAGAAATTGTACACCATTTTTACTTATTTTGGACGATTACGAGTAAAGTTTTGATTTGAAGTCACGGTTTTGGAAGAACATATAAGAGCTTCTTTTTTTCTGCCATTTATTTGATTCCAATCGATTTTTAGCAAATATTTTCTTCATATCATAGGGTTTTGGTTCTTTATAATGTTATTGACCATAAATTGTAGCCTATTTTTTCTTTTTTGGTTGATTTGTGGTAGATTTTTTTTATTTTAAGTCACGATTTTCTCAAGAATATTAGGGTTTTTTTTTCTAGCCAAACTATAAAATTTAGATGAATTAAAGCATTATTATGAATTATTTTAAAGGGTTTTTGAAGGTAATGTTGTTCTTCATATGATTTTGGGTATAATTGTGGGATTAACCAATTTTTATTGCTCAATTTTTTAAGAAATGGAGTTGTGGCTATGTTTTTAGAAAAAGAGTTTAAAAATCCGTCAAACTGAATTTTCACCTCGCATTATTTTGAATGATTTCAGAGGGGTTTTGAGGATAATAACATTATTCAAACGAGTATTTGTGTCATCAACCTAATTTTGGTGATAAATTTTTTGAAAAATCGTAACTGTTGGCGCTTTTCAATTTTTTTTGAAAAATCATGATTTTCTAAAAAATCGTGACCACATTTTGATTATCATGAGAAATTAACTTCTATTTTTCAATTTTATTGTTAAAATTAATGCAATAAAATGTATGTTGATACATAAAATGTATGTATGTCTGGAATTTGGGTATAGTTAGGGTTTTGGATTAGGAGTGTAACAAAACAATAATACTCAAAGATTTGAGTATAGTCAGGTGCCCACTAAATTGGATGATTTGTTCATAAATCGAGTCAATGAATTGTTACGCAAATTCAATCATGGGACCAGCGTGATCAAGATGAAGAATGACATCGTCTTTCATTTTAGTATTTTATGAATTATATGTTTTATTGTAGTCCATGTATGATGATATACTTCATCCATGATAATTCTATGTTTCTCCTTTTGTGTGGTATGGTTAACAATAGTTCATACAGGAAAGAACATCTCATTATTCACATATTGATACAAAAAAATGAAAGTTCTTAATGGAGTACCCCAATTTCTTATTTGATTTCTAAAAAATATCATTTATAATGACTTTTAATATTTTTTTGGATTTTTTTAGGACTGAATCCGACCGAATTAACCGATTACCTAACCGAGTCGCCAATTCCCAGATCCGGATGGGTTTTTGGGGTGCCCAATCCGGGGCACCGATCCAGTTTTTAAACCACTGGTCTTAACCTTATACAAACCATACCCTATATAAAAATATGTTTTTGACTTGTCAAAAAATAAAAGATATATAAAATTCCAAAAATATGTTATGCAATTTAATATATAAACAACAATGGATGGGCCGGGCCCTGCCCGGCCCGATCCACTCTCAACTTCATTAAGTCATGATACGTAATCCAACTCTCGGTCCAAGCTTCTGGCCCGGAAAACGACCCCGCATGTACATTTCGCGGCTGTGTGCCTCGAGTTGGGGGAAAGAGAGGGTCAAGGACGAGAGGCCGCATGAAACGTTTCCGGTTTGAGCGCTTTATTCATGGTCTCCCCCTCCTATTATTTCATATTTTGGCGGCACCACGAATGTGAGGGCGTTAATTACATTGGATTTGATTTGGATGGGGAATCCGAATAGTATATCCCTCATTTTGCCTCTATTAGTGATGACATGTAATATTCTGTCGGATTTGATTCGATCTGCAGCCAAAACATTGTTTTAGTCCCTCGTGAATATACTATTTATTATTCCCTAAGGTAAAACACATACTAACGAGTAATGTAATGGAAAATTCTCATTGCGGGCTGGAATATATTTTTATATGGGATCCAAAAAATGTAAAGCATCCATCTTAAAAATGGATACAAGTAGGTGTTCTATCAAAAAAACAATAGAAACTAACGGACTAAATGTTTTGTTACTGCAATTATTAGTTTTAGTTTTTAGAATTTACTTATTTTTTATATATCATGATCTTCGTGTTAGAGGTTACAAGTGTTTAAAAATTACGTGCAAAAATCCATCCAAAAAATAAATTTATTAATAGGCCCACATTTCTACCTATGTGGGCTTGGCCACGTAGAAACTGGGCAACAAATATAATAATCTTAGCAAAATAAACGTGCTAGTTTATAAAGCCGAGGCTCTAAATAATTAAATTAGAGTCCACCTTCAAATAATATCGAGAAATGTGGTTTCAATATTGGAAATATTTGTGATAGTTTTAAAATATATTTTCATTTTTAATTATAAAATCAAAAGTTTAAAAAATAATATAGATCAGTATATCTATGAAAACTTGAAAATTAACGGTCCCAAAATGCATTATTTACAAGGCTTGAAATGTATTTTTTTTTTTTTTTGAGATTTCTAAAGTAGGTTTTAATTTGATTGTTTTGAGCCCAGGTTCCCTATAAACGTTAAACGTTTTTTTGCTTTGCATAAGGAATGGCAATTATTGCTACCGTGAAAATTTCAAATTTCAAATTTTAAAATAAATGGAAGTAAATCCAAAATTCTAAACGTAACTCACTTCGCTGAGATTTGATCTAATGTGTAGAAATGATAGGCACCTCAATGTACGAAAGAGAAATGGCATCTCTCCGGACCATCCCTAAAATACGTCTTCTTAATAGATATTCCCCTCAAATAGAGATTCATAAAATATTAAATATAGACAGGCCACACTCCCTGTCTCTCTCTCTTCTGCACACCTGTGCCTGGCTTCTCTCTCTCCTCTGCACACCTCTTTGCGCAAAATGCTGGTGGATCGTGGAGGTGGTAATGGGAGCAGGGGCTCTGAAAGGGACTTTTATTATTTTTTCAAAGTTTTGTTGGGGAATTTCTCTGAGCAATTGGTAAAAAGTGTAAACTTTTGTCACCTTAATCCTCCATGAAATGAAATGTACGAGAATGCATTTTACTCTTCAAGTTTCTCTTTCATCGGACTCTTTCCTATGTAGTTATGTTTTGTGACTGTTGCTGCTGCTTGTTGATAATTTTTTTTTTTGTGTCATGCATAAATGTACTCGTGAAGGTTTCCATTTCCTTGAATTCTATCATGTTTAAATTCGTATTACTTGCCATACTTCTTTTTATGGATCTTGAATAGTTTCTCTGCTTTTTCCTGTCAATGCTTTGTGTTTTTGCATTTGATTCGGTTCATTTATGTATCAATGCAATCTGGTTCCTGTATCTTGCGCGTTTTCTCTTGGATTGATGATTTCTTTTCTTTAAATTCTAGAATGAATATCAGCGTGTGTATACTGTGAACAAATTCAAAATATTGTATGGGCAACAAGCCGCTGCATGTGTTGAAAGCCATTAAATCGGAACTTCAAAACATCTTCCTGTTATATGGACGAGCTGAGGATATAAATCAATAAGGGAGAACAAATTATCTTTGAGATGCAGTTTCTTTCATGTTTGTTGGAAAAGAAATAGATCTTCTACCAAATAAAATTACTGAAACCTCACAGGAAAGATAAAAACACTGAGCAAGTTTTGGTGGGAATAGCTCTGTTAATTAATGCTGCCTTCCTGCATAAAAAGGCATGGAAGCATCAATCTTAAGATTCTTAACAACTGAAGAGTAGTTACCAACAAGCTCGTGGCATCAAAACAGAGCAATCATAAGATTAGTTTTATTCTAGTTCAGCATCATAACTATTCACTTCTGGGAAAGAGGACTGTAAATGAACCTCCTAATCAGTGTCTTTATAAAAGGAATCGAGGTCATCGAAGTCCTGAGCCTGATTCATCCACCTCCTTGGCCAAGTCTTTGGATAAAATGCAAAGATGGACCTGAACTGAATAAGATTTGCCCATGTTTGGCCTTTTTTCAGAGCCCCAGTCACCGGTTTTCTAGCATTGCTCCTAATTAATTGCCGAATTGCTTCCCATGCTTTCTTCGCTTATGACTTTGGAAGCCTGTATATTCGTTCTTATGGGTTAAAATGGCTATTTAACCAAATAATGTTCTGGAATCCACACCCTTGATCTGTTCTTGTGAGTGAAGTTCCCTTCAACATCTTTTCAGTTACCTGCTAATGTGTCTCATATGAACACTTTCAGAAGGGATATGCTATAGTATGGATTCTAAATGAGTAGGAATTATCTTTAGTGGAGCTAAGACATCCTGATCAAACACAATTGATTCAAAATGATAGCTTTCGGCAGCCACTTATATTGTTTTGGATACTTAAATTGGTAGGAAAGAGGAGTTTTAATTGAACCAACTCTGGTTCATGAATCTAGCCGGAGTAGAAAAACCTGCAATTTGGGCCTTCCCCATGGTTCAACTAGTCCTCTAATCCCACAACTCGACGTTAACTTATGTCAACTATAGGTTTTATGAGGAGAGAGAGATGTTGGACCCATGTTCAGTCTAAGTACCCCAGTTTTCTACAAGAGAGTTCTCTATCATAGGACTCAGACTCAACTCGATACTTATCGGAGGCAATTAACGTAGTCATGTAAATAACAGTTTTATCAACATGTAATACTGAACAAGGCAAAGAGCTTATGCCATCCAATCTGCTCAATAGATCATGTTAGTGCATCCATGTGCATGCTTCACTTCTGTGAACATGTAGTCCAGCCATAAGTGGATCTGGGCTGGGGTGGGGCCTAACGTGTCAGAATTTTTGAAAAACACAACAATGGAGAATTTGCAGAGGCATGTGCTAGATATTTATTCCCCTTTTACATTATGTAAACTTGAGTGCAGGAGGGTCTGTTTGGCATGTCGAAACTATCATAGACATATATTGTGTGGGAGTTTTATTCTCTGCCCATTTTCTAATGAAAGACACAATTGGCAGTAAAGTCTTTTATTTCTTTTGGGTAAATTTTGTATGTCTTTTTAATATGGAAATCTTTCAATTGAAAGTCGGATTTTTTATCATTTAAGTTTTCTTTTTCATTCAAGTCTTACTTATCATTTTTGCTATGAGTAGTTTGTTTCGATTGATTAATATATGCTGTGCTTAGTAATTTTTGTTGGCTTCTTTTTAGTGTGTTAGTTGCGAGTTACTCTTCTTAATTGTTGAGTTTGGTGTATTGTTAATTATTTTGAAATTTTGGCTCAACCCATGCTGCATACCTGGTTTTTCCAACAGAACCAAACTTCTTCTAAATTGTAAAGTTTTTCTCTTTCATATATAGTGGTTATATATTTGTTACCTTTTACCATTTGCTTTCTTATAAGAATCTCTGTGTCCTTCACAGTCAATTCCACCAGCATTTCGGACATATTTGGAGCATGAAGTTTCTAGAAAGGTCTTTCTAAAGGGTCCAAGTGGTGATGTTTGGCCTGTAGATTTGAAGAAAACTGTTGGTGGCATGTTATTTCAAAATGGTTGGAAGGACTTTGTAAATGATCATTGTTTGCAACTAGGGCATTTTCTGGTGTTTAGATATGATGGAGATGTGTACTTCACGGTACAGATTTTTGATCAAACTTGTTGTGAGAAAGAAGATGCATTTCTTGTGCATAATAGCGACGAAATGGATTTCAATGAAGACAATGCGGAAGAGGTCAAGGTGAAGGAAAACCTAATGAAACAATCTCGGATTGCTCGAAATAGATCATTCAAAAGTAAAATGAATAGGACAAATGGAAAGGTGAACATATTCCCAACACAACCAGTTTTTGATAATGGGTATGTTGAGGCTGAAAAGAATGATATGAAGACTAAAATGAATGACATAATGACTGTTGGAGATTCAAGCGATGAATCTAGCTGTGAGGAACAATGCTCAGGTAAGTGTGAGCAATTTCATTTTCTTATATTTTTCCTTCAAAAGCATAAAATCATCTGATGGGCTTCGGAAACCAAATTTCATTGGGTTTGAACTCATGTATTGTTAATTTTCAATAGTCCATTCGATTGTCATATACTTTCTCCTTTTCGTTTTAAGGTCTTTCTAGGCTCTTCTAATTGGAAGTTAACTTGTTAATTAGTGAAATATTGTAGAAAAACAGAGAAGGATTTCAAGAGCACTTGAGCCTAGCCAGAAAAAAGATACTCATAATTCTACAAGTGATCGGCGTATTTCTAGAGAAAGGACCGTTGTGTCAGCAAGGCGTCGAGTGACTAAAAGAGAAATGCACAATGCAATTGACTCAGCCAGCTCCTTTCAGTCTAGCAAACCATCCTTCACACTAGTTATGAAACCAGGCAATGTGTATAGACATTTCACTGCGGCAAGTTCCTATTTCTCTACCTGTATTTATTTTCTTTTTGGCAAGTTTCTCATTTCGCTTCCCTTATTCAATCTTATTTTAACAGGATTATATACAATGAGACAATTTATCTTTGTTATAAAGAAATCACAATTACTCCTAGCCATTAGATATCAAATTGGATGGCTTAGGGTGAGTCACAAAGTTCGAGAAATTCTTTTTTGAACTTTGAGTCTAGTCAATGACACATTCACAACCACTCAATTTGAAATCTAATGGACAAGAGTGACTGTAACCTCCTTGCACTAAAAGTAAATGGTATCTTTGTAATACTTTTCTTATTTTGCTCATCTATAATTGTATCATGGATTCACCTAGTAGACCATGTTCTTACTATAAGGAAGATATAATCTACAATTTCACTGAGCGATATAATTTCAATCTTATTTTAACTGTGCATGTACTTATCTATAATCATATCATGGATTTTCCCAGTTGAATATGTTCTTACTATGAGGAAGATATAGTCTACAACTTTACTGAATGATATAATTGCAAAAAATAATATTATAAATTTTATTGAACAGTTAATGTCAGAGTTTAGAAATGAGTACCCTAAGATTATACTTATGTGAAGTATAGGGTTTGGAGAATTTGGATTCAGTATACTATGCTACATTTGACTCGAAGCAATATGTGATTAATAGCATCTTCATCACTAAATCAATGGGTTGGACAGCGATGAAGAGTGGGGCATACATTTGGTCTACTTTCATGTTTGGCTGATCCCATTCACTCTCCTTTATGGCTCCCGCTTGATTTGATGGCGACGGTCCCTATCAATACTTATATCATGTGGTCATATGGATTCTGGTTTACTTACCTTGGGGATTGTGTTTTATTATGATAATACAAATCTAAAAATTGAGAAGGAAAAAAAAAAGAATATATAACAAGTTACCGTAAAGGATTCCCAGTAGAGAAATTTTCCAAAGGATCCCAACTTGTTCTGACTGTTGTATTAAATACTGTGGAGGAGCAAAGTCATAGTCAATCTTATTGTTAGCTCTTCAATTGAGAGTTATTTCAATGTAATCTTGTTAAAGAAGTTAGGGAGGGGTCATGTTAATTATGTTGCATGCGTTTTTCTTTCATTTCTTGAGAACCATAGAATCAGGATTTATATACAGTTAACAATTTCAAAAAAAAAAAAAAAAATAATATAGCATCGTGTGTTTTCACTTTTTTTGTATGAGAACGAGAAAAGTAACCAGTTTCAAATGCGTAACATAATAAATAAGAAACGTGTCTAACAAATCTCATTTGTTGCCATGTAGATGTGAAATGGTCTCATGCACTTAACTGCATAATTTTTTGGGAGAAAGACATTCCAATCCAGGGTTGTAAGAAAGTTTATGATGACCTATCTGCACTCATCATTACCTAGCTCAAATAGTCCTTTAAGCTAAAATGTTCTTCAAGATGTCGAGTGCCTCAAATAAGAATTTATTACTTCAAACAGAGGTTTCAATAATACCCATGTTGTTTGGTCATTTATCCTTGGGAACTTGAACGTCAAAATTTTCTTCTTCATGATGAAAATGATGATCTCCCTTAACATTAGTCTATGCATAAAAATAGGTTTCTAAGTGAAATGCTCAAAAAGGGTAAGGGATAGGTCCAAAAGAACATGGTTGGAAGTAGTATGGGGACTTTGGGCCTCACTCAGGGTATGACTCTTGATAGAGCGGAATGACAGACCAGGATTCATGTAGATTACCCCAAAAAATTGGAAAAAGGTGCTGCTGATGATGATGATGCATAAAAAAGGGTTTGTAGTAGGGAACAATGTGGTAACCTATCAAGTCAGCTCAAGTCATAGCCATACACCCTTATTATTAAACTTGGATTTAGTTCAATAACTCTTGTTACTTCCTAATAAGATGATCTGAAAAAACGCAATTGCTTGAAACAACTATATTCAGATGAGGGGCTCTGGATTGTGTAGAATAATAGCAACCATCACTAGATTTGTTTACTTATTGCTCTTATGGCTATAGTATGTGGTCAAGTGAATTCTATGGGGGCATATATATGTTCTTAGACTTGATTGAATGCTAGGATTATGTTTGGTCCAGCTTATTTAAAATGTTGTCTTGCTAGTGCAACAATTATGTGTTTTTTAGCGAAAGATAATGTATATCCTCTGCTATTCCCAAAGCATATTTCATTTCCGCTTAACTAATGGAAAATTTATCATATATCCATCTTTTTGAAAGAAATCCAAGGCCTTATTTTTCTTAGAAAATGCATCCTGACAGTGGTGCTATCAACTTCAATTCCTAGTAACTCTATTTCTTGACACATTTATATTATACTCACTATTCAAAATTTCAAATTATTAATGAATCCCTCACTTCTTTTTGGTAATCAACCTGTGCCCATTAAGATAGCATCACTATATGCAAAAGAATCATAAAAAAATTGTGCAGGAGAATAATGAAAAACCTACCTTTGATGTCTTAACAAAGAGTGGCCTAGCTTATGGTGAAATTCAAAGGCATTCATCTATTTAACTACATTGAAATACTTTTTCAAACTTCTTTCATAGGGCCTGTATGAAACTAAATATTGCATATAATTGTAGAACAACTTCCTTGAACGTTGAATTTTTTTTCAGTAGAGCATCTAAGGGTGCAAAACCATCTCACAATACTTATGCGAGTCTTAGGTTGAAGGTGTATGATTTAGAATCATAGAATATTGCATTCTTTATGGTTTATTTAATCTGAAATTAAGTCCGAAAATGCATAAGAAGCTGCAAATTCATAGAGAAGTGTACTTGCCCAGGTATTATGGATAAACCTTAATTCAGATAATTTAGAAATTGTGGGACAATTTATTTAATTGACTACAAACTTGTGTTAAATTTTGAAGTTAGCCTAATAAATTTCGAGAACCTAATTTTTTAAAAAAAATGTATAATAGGGTGGGAATATTTAGGGTATACATTGGGAAGATATTATGTGGTCTTGTGTGACCAATTTGTTCATTTGATCCCATGGGTTAAGAATTTAGTTAGCTTAATTCGATGGACCCCAGAATTCTCAAATCATGTTTATTGTTTGAGATCAATGTTTTCCTTTTAAACAAAGGATTTGGATCTCAAAACTTGCCCCAAGTCATAATCCTCTCCCAAGATTGAACCCAGATCATCCATCATGATGGATGTTAATTTTGGGCAATATTTGAAAATCAATTATTTTCTTGAAATTGATTTCATATAAGAATTTGGAGAGAGGTTTTGGTTACAATCCCCCCTAACTTAGTGTTGGTATGGGACTAGATGTAGAATTTGCTCATGTGGGATCATCATAGTGCCTTGTAAACAATGGTCTCTATGTTGTAAAGTGTTTTAAGTCTTTTTAAGACCGGGGATAGTAGGGGACTTTAGTTGTGGTAAAAATATAGTTTCCACATCATCCAACAACAAACTGTTGACGCAATAGTAAGTTTGTCAGATTTGGACTTCTTATGTGCCTCAACCAACAAAAATTGTTGGATGAGGGTTGGTGGGTGGGGAGGGGGGAACATAAAAAACTTCCCATGCAAGTGTGTGTGCACTTGCGTGCATGCATTTGTATGTGTGTGTATATTTTGTCCTTTGAATATGTATGCCCATGTGTGTGCGTGAATTTTGTGCTTTGATGATTGTAAAGGTTCATACATGTGTTGTTTGAACATTTGCATGCATTTCTTTTACGTGTCTGTATGTTGCATGTGTGTTAGAAATGATTGCTTAATTCATAATCTTAACTTCCTAATTCTGGAGGTTGATATTAATAAATCGAGGGGCGATTTAGAATGGGACCATAGTTGGGGATCTTGGTCAAGGGATGGTGATCCTCAGAGTTGGAGCCCTTCCTCCCATTAGGGGATCTCTGTTCCTAACTTGAAGGGAGTTAACCGTTTCTCAAAAACAAAAAACAACGCTTGAAATAAAGTTGATCCTTGACTCCGCTGGATCTTGATCCACTCCTCCAAATTGTCTACTTAGGTGGTGACTTTTATTATTTTATATTATTCCAAAATGTGTCATAATGATGGATAATTTCATATATTTGTTTTTTTTCCTATTTACTTTCATTTAAATTTTGTAATTTATAATAAAAATTATTTTCTTGGATTTTTTAATGCCCTTTATGTCTTTCATATCTTAAAGAATTAATTTAATGTTATTTCATTCATTTATTGTATCTCACTTCAAATCTTCCTTAAAATAATTTTCTTGATTTTTAATTATTAAATTTTCATAAATTATATTTTTGACACTGTCTTATCTACCTATCAAAAGTGTCCACTCAATTGACAAACTTTTTTATTTTATTTTATGTTATTTGAAAGTGTAATAACGACATTTTTCATTGATTTATTTATTCTTTCATTTAAAAGAACTTTCGTTTATAGTAGAAAATCTTTTCTTCAATTTCGTAATGCCATTTATGCCTTTCTTTTTTTAAATAATCAGTTTAATATTACGTCATGCATTTATTGTTTCTCACTTCAAATCTTCCTAAAATATTTTCCTTGATTTTAATTATTAAGATTATCGTGCATTATGTTTTAATACAAAATGCCTCATCAATTATGTATGGGTGCGGTTTGTATAAGGCCGAGGCTCTAAACAATCAAAGTAAAGTGCACCTTCAAATAGTGTCGAGAAATGTGGTTTCAATACAGGAAATCCTTGTGATAGCCTTAAAATATATTTTCATCTATAATTATAAAATTTAAAGATTTAAAAATAGTGTAGATCGACTAAAATTTTGAAAATTGACAGTTTAAAACGCATTATAAGATGCACTATTTCAAAACTTGAAATCAGTTTTTTTTCTAATGTCCATTCATCTTGAGGTTGAGATGATGAATTTGTTTAGAGGGCATCAAAACAACCTCTTCTAGTAAAATTTTTGTGGTGCGCCCTAATATGATTGTTTAGAGCCTTGCACTTATATAAAATTTTTCCATTATGTATGAATTCTTCTATTTACAATAGAAAATCCATTTTTGGATTTCATAATTTTCTTATGTCCACCATTTTCTTATGTCTATGGACCCTTAAGTTTACTCTTATGCATGTAGACTCTAAGTGTAGTCCATACACTCTAAGTCCTTTTTCTATTTTTTTTTATTTTTTAAGTCTTTATGGAACCTTTTGGCAATATAGTTCTTATTAGCATGTGTTTAGCATATTGTTTATTATTTTATTTTAAAATTATCACTTTCGAAGAAATGGATAGGATATATTTGTAAGTACATGAGCAAAAAGATTTATGATTTATCATTCAGGTAATTGCAAAAATATATATCTTAGCAATTGAGAATACTATATATATATATATATATATAGTGAGAGAGAGAGAGAGAGAGAGAGAGAGTAAGTAACTACCGACCGAACTACGTAGACGAGTACTAATAATAAGTAAATTAATAATAGTAGGTAGTAACTCGTACGTCGTTAGTACTCTACT